AAAGGAAAGGATGATTAATAATATTGTTATACGATGATCTTATCAATTGCTTTCTCGCTTCTCTTTCTTTCTCAAATACCACTGTTTTTTGTATTCTTTATAATGCTCTTTATTTTCTTGATAATGAAAAGATTCTGGCAGAGCCCCTCAACCCTGAAAAAGGGGCGCTTCTTTTCTTGAGCCAAACATATCGGTTTCAGTCTCGTTAGAGGTCGAAGTGAAACTGTACCTGAAGCCTAAAGGTCCTAACCTGACGTCCTGCAAACTATGGAAAGGGTGCTTAAGATAGGCCTTTACACTACGGATCCCTGCCTCGGCGTGGCCGCCATGAGGACGAGGGATCTTCGCCTGTACAGGGGCCAGTTTTGCCCGCGTACTATCTACTCCCCCTGCAGACGTGCAGAGTTTGCGTGCCTAAGCGCTCTATGCTGCTTGAGATCTTAAGCGTGTCCGCTCCTTTCGATCACGGTGCCTACATGCACCAGGCTGCTTCGAAGCAAGGCTGGTACGGCGTTGCTGCCTTGTACTCACCAGCACAAAAGGTAGCCATTCCATTCGGAGTAACTGAAGGGCTGCAGGAAACTTCGAAGGACTCAAGGCCTTTGTGAAGATACCGGCACACTGCTTATCCGTGTTTATGTACGTCACACGCACAAACGGATCTTCGAAGACTTGGTACAATGATGACAGGTCTATCCTATGGGTCTTGCTTACGCGCCGAAGCTTTGGGCTGTACCCAGCGTGGACGATTTGGATCACGGCAGAGTTATCTTGATGACACTGAAGCGTCACTTCTCTACCCAAGACTTTCCCCATGAACTCGGACATTGCACATGGTCCAACCCCTCCTGGGAAGGAAGGGTCCTGAGATGTTGCAGGCAATCCAGAACTTCAGGATCCAGCTCAAGCGTAGAAAGCTTCCTTTGGACCACATCCACTCCGATAGAGCTCGTGAGTTCCAAACTCGTGCGTTGAGAACATGGGCTGCGGAACACGGCATTTATCACACCAGGTCTAGTGGCTCAGAGCCTGCGGGTGATTCCACAGCAGAGTTGGGCGTTCGCTGGGTGAAGGCCAGAAACAGAGCACTTCTCACGAATTTTCCAGCCAGGGAGTGACCATTGGCCGCCCAGCATGCCGCGTACAGACTTTGGGAGGAAAGGATGCCATCAACGGGCCGGGTTGAGGATAAGGTTAGCCCAGCATTTGGCCAGGTGGTATTGCAAAGGGGATTCGCGACCGTTTGATTGTTCCACATGAAGAACATCCACCACTTCTCCCGGACCTTGAAGACTTGAAGGCGACATCCCGAGGAGAATCACTGGCAAGAGACCTCCTTCCGAAAGGGACGGACACGCAGCTCTTTCAGTGTTGGAGGCAAGCGCACGCCAAACCATGGTTGGTGAGATTTTGGGTCATTCTAGGGTTGAGTCCTTGGCCAACGAGCTCAGTGAGAAGCCAGAGTCAAAGGGCCAGGACGGTTCATATCAAAGGTCGTTAGGCGCCTTTCAACATGGTGGCATTGTTGGCCTGTCCACATTGTCCCGGTCCCATCCGGAGTTGGTCCAAAAGGTTTGCCAATTGATCAGGCGAGACCACTCACACCAAACGTACGAGCATTACACTGTCGAGGAACACGTGTTTGCAGTTTCCCCGGGATTGCCCGAGCGATCCAAACTCCATGAACTTAGTTTCGCCGCTACAGGCGCTGAGTTGGAGTGCGGGGATGCCGTCGTGAGCGGTGCGTTTGGGCATCGGCTTATTGATGGCCACCAACTCCGGTGAGGTTTAACCCCAAACAGAGGTATGGTTTAGATGATGGCGGTAAAGGGTCCAAAGAAAGGATCATTGTAGTGGCTCACACAATGCAGGATTGGAGAAAATTGAAGCCCAACCAGCGTGAAGCCTTGATGCGGCTTGGTTTCAACCTGCCTCAGGACCCTCCCCGAGAGGGTGAGGTAGCCAAACTCAGAGCTCTCAGAATAGCTGTTGAAGAGCCTGAGTCGGAGGAGCAAGAGCGACCTGCAGAGCACATTCCGCGGAGGGCGAGGACATCCATCCCGTTTCGCCTGAGTCTCACGAGTCCTCAAATTCGGGTTCTCATATCCGTGATGTTGGAGAGCTGGCCACAGGGTTAGCCGAAGCACTTGGGATTGAAATCACCTCGTCCGATGAAGAGTTTGAGAGGATCCATAATTTTTTTTCGGGGATGTTTTGGGTTTCGCGGACGACGGAGCGTACCGAGCGCAGCTTCTCGAGGACAGAGTCCGTGCGTGGGCCAACGCAGTGCAAGGCTTCATCCCGACTTGCCCGGCGCACTTCACCATGAGGGCTTGACTCTGGCAGAGGTTCATGCTGTAGAAATGATGGTCGCTTACTACATGTATGAAAGGCCACGCAGAGCCCAGACTAGAGAGTCAACCCCAAGTCCTCCCCCAACAGGTTCCCCGCCGTCACTCCGCGCGATGTCAGTTGGACTTCCCCCTAGCGAGGAGCCACAAGCTTCGAAGTACTAGAGCCCAGCGAGGTTGAGAGCATGAGGGTTGAGGAGCTACACGACCGGTCGCAAGCGGCTGGTGTACCTCAACTCACGCAAGCACGCGCCCTCCGGAGGCCAGAGGCTCTGTACACTCCAGACGTAGACGGGTTGCTGGCAAAGCTTGAGGAGCAGGGTAAACCCTTAGAGGTAGTGCACACGGTAGAGCTGAAAGAAGTTCGCGAAAACCTCGAGAAATGGATTCCCTCAGCCAACAAGGAAAAGAGAAGGCATTTCAAGTCATGAAAAAGCACGAGCTGCCACCGGGAACACGCTTGGTTCCTGGGAAGGGCGTTTTCTCGATAAAGCCAGACGGCAAAGGCTACCGAAGGAAGACAAGGTTTGTTGCTTGCGGCAACTATCTGCCTACAGAGGAGACAGGTGACCTGTACGCCGCAGGCGCCGACGCTACTACCCTTCGCGCAATTCTGTCGTACGCCGCCGGGCGACCATGGGTTTCAGGCACCACAGACATTCGCCAGGCATTTGTGCTCGCTCCCTGGAAAGGCGAGCCCGTGGCTGTTATGCCTCCCAAAATAGCCATAGACATGGCGCGGCTGATGAAGTCTGGTTTGTAGACACAGCTCTCTACGGTTTGAAGGAAAGCCCTAAGCTGTGGTCAAGGATGCCGAGCTTCGCCAGGCACGTTGGGAAGTGGATGGTACTGAGTACTGCTTGCAGCAGATGACGTCAGATGACCAACTCTGGCGCGTCACCCAGACCTCCATCCTGGCGGACGGGACCGTGAGCGAAGCCAGCACCTTGGGCTTCATTCTTGTGTATGTCGATGACATCTTCACTGTTGGAGACTCCAAAGTCATGAGCGGTTTTCACCACTGGCTGTCTCACAAGTGGGAATGTGACCCTGTAGCTATGTTGACCCCTGAACAACCTGTTCGTTTCCTACGGGGAAATTCATCTGGGAGAGGGCCGCGATGGAGGTGATTTTTCAAAGGGGTTTCATTGGAGAACTCCTGCGTTCGCACAAGCGGCAAGTCCTGGTCAATGGGTCCTCGTGACTCAGTGATGCTCACACCAGAAGAGGAGGAGGAGCTCCTGGAAGAGGCCCCTCCCCGAGAGGGTGAGTGGACATTGCTGAACTCCGCCAGGCCCAAAGACGGGTTGCTGAGCTGCTATGGCTCATGTCTCGAAGCAGGCCAGATCTTCAGTACGTCGTAGCGCTCATGGCTAGTCGGGTCTCTAAGAAACCTGAAGCAGTTAATCAAATAGGCCGCAGACTGCTGGACGATCTAAGCCAGACTGCTGGTTACCGTCTCGTGTTTGAAGGTAGCCAAGAGGCAGACGACGAGGTGAGTGTTTTCACAGACTCCTCGTTTGCGCCCGCAGGAGCTAGAAGTCACGGTGCAGCTGTGGTAGTCTTCAAAGGCACGCCGATTTGTTGGCGCAGTTCCAGGCAGTCACTCGTCACGTTGTCTACAGCTGAGAGCGAGTTGGTGGAGGCGGTCGAAGGAGCACTCCTACTGAAAAGTGTGGAGGGTGTCATCCAAGACATCACCGGGCTGCCGCTCAGGTTGTGCTTTAGACAACATGTCTGCGACGCAACTGCTTAACGGCTCAAGCGGAAGCTGGCGCACAAGGCACCTGAGACTCCGGAGCAGCTGGCTAAAGGAGCAGGTTTCCACAGGCCAGATGAGCGTTGTTCACGAGCCAGGTGAGAGCCAGCTGGCAGACCTTTGTACAAAACCGATGCCAAAAGCAAGGCTGAAAGAACTTGTTGCTTTGTGGAAGCTCAAAGACGTTCCCGACCGGAAGGTCGCGGCCCTCACGGTCGAGGGCGCACCGTCCCGAGTACAGCAGTCCAGTCCGTCAGGTTTCGCTGGTCTGGCGACTAAGCTTCTCCTGATAGTACAGAGTCTGTGTGGGGTCGTCGAAGGCACAACAGAGGGTGAGGTCAAAGATCCCCTGCCAGTAGAGACTTCCATAGAACTCTACGTTCTTATTGTTATGCTGGTCATTTGCGCCATAGTAGTTTGGGAAGCAGGACGGGCCTGCGTGAGAACTGGCTCCAACGCTGTACGTTTGCGTGCACTGAGTGCCAATCAACAGAAAGCACCAAAGCAAAAGGCCAAGGCAAAGACATAGTCTAGGACGCTCACCAAGGCAGAGTGTAGGGAGCTGAGTTCCTTCTGTGAGAGGAACCCTGCAGAGCCCCTGCCGCCTACGGAAGCAGCTCGTTTTTCAGAGTTGCTTGCCAAGCTCGACCAGAGCAGTGAAGGTGTTCGCGCGCAGACGCAAGCCCCAACTAGCTCGGCAGCGTCTTCACACCAGCCACAAGGCCAGGTTGAAGGTACAGCAGAGCATGTGCCAGCGTTCACCAGGCTGACGCCTGAGTACATGCCAGCTCAGCGAATCCAAATCGTTGAGAGAGCCTATGAGGGTCCTTTCTTTTGCACTGCGTCACCTCAAGGCAAAATCCATATCGACAGCAACTGCTGGGGACTACGTAATGTTCCCCATCCGCAGCAGCGCGAGATGTGCGCTAACTGCCTTGCGCGCCTAAGAGCCCAGCAAGGGCCGCGTGGCTGAGTTTTGCACACCGTCCGAGAGGACAGGTTGCAACGTACTGCAAGTTGTTGCTCTCCACCCGGAAGGGTAGGACTCTGAGCCTGCCGTAGAAGGGTTTTTAAGAGTCTGTGAGTCTGACATAAGACGGTTGACTCAAGGAGGAGTGTAGAAGTTACCTTCTCCGCCAGGTAGAGCTGTAGGTGCTTGCAGTTGTGTTTGAAGTTCTTGCTGTCATGTTGAGGCCCAAGGCCCAGGAAGAGACATGATACAGCATGCAGTCAACAAGTAGAGAGTAGCACAGCCACAACCTCTGCTAACTGTCACAAGACTTTCAGGACTTTTCTGCCTGCGTTGTAGAAAAAGGCTCCCGTGTGCTGCGCCATGGATTCTCTACTAAGGGAACGAAGAAACGTAGCACCTGGGGAGCCACACACGGCTCTTCACGTGTATATGTTGTGGTTCTTGCTCCTAATGCTGTTGAATTGGACGGTGTCGCATTTGTTTTCTTTGAGTGTTTCTTCGTATTGGTTGTAAGTTAGTTCTTTCTTCACTTTATGCTCCACGATACCTTTTGACTTCTTCTCTTCTTTAATTTCATTATGAACCTTGAACGCATAAGACTTCGGTTTTCATCCTATGAAGTGTGTTATGATTTTGCCGCATTCGTCCTTAAACTTGCCTAATACCTTCTTGTTGGTTGGGTCATAACATTTATGACTCTTATCATATCCACTAAAATCCATCTGGTTGTTGATTTCATTGAAGTCATCATATACATCTTTAGTTTTAGTATGGATAACGAAACTATATCAGTGTCAGTATAAACTAACCTAATGTTTTCATTATATTTCTCTTTTAGGACATCGCAATAAAATGAATACATATGTAACTTACTTAAGTCTAGAATGCTCATTCCTACATATGTTGGTTTATTCAGTCTGACCTTGTCTTTAACTTCTCCACTCCTACTAGATTTTCATTTATAATATGCCTGTGCTTGAATGTAGGATTATTAACGCATTTGGCGTATCGTTCCTGTGTATCTACTAATTCAAAGTTTATATGTTCCCTTACATTCTCCATCGTTTTTCCATATACCCGTTGTTCATTGATTTGTATTTGTCTTTTTCAAAGTCGGATGTTGCTTGTTTTCTCTTCTCGGTGTTGAAGTCAATCCACGGTTTTAACCATTACTTCTGCTTAAACGATATTGCCCTATTAACTTTCCTCATTGAAACTTGGCATATCCCCCCCCGAAATCCATTTTCTACCATCTTATAAATGTCTTCATCGTGAATTAGTTCTAGTTCTATTCCTGTTTTAAGTAACATAGCATCCCAACTAAAATTAGGTAATGTCATATAATGAGCGGGGTCTAACCCATAATCCACCAAACAACTCTTTCTAAAGTTTTCAAAGACATCGGTTAATAATAAAACATCAGTCTGTAAATACAAATTGTGATACTGACCTAAATTTTTTTATCTTAAAATGCTCCCATATCTTATTTGCCCTATCATATTCCGACTGCTTAATCCCTTCTTCTGTTAATTTACTGTAGAAGTCCTCTATTTAAGGTAGTGATGCTTCATTGAATTTATTAATGTCGGTAAAATAATCATAGGGATAAACGCCCTTATCCGTTAATAAATCTAAATCATTGTCATAATTTACATATACGCTTTCTTACTAAAATTGACTCCATTCTGCCATTCATCCCTCTTATCATTACCTTCATATTTAGTCAGTTTAACTAGTTTATCTAAGGAAGAAGATAAGAAACTAAAGCTGTCTTTAAACTCTAGGTTATCAGCTGTAAATGTTACAAACTTTTCGCTGTTTTGTGCGATTATGCTTATCTTATCTTTGTTCTTATTCAACTTCTCCATATGTGATATTATTAGGCGAGCATCATACTTTTAAGGTTATGAAAAAACACTTGGATTTTAAAACATTTGTTATGTGCGGCGCCCCTATATTGTCCCGTAAAGTGGCAGCGGTCGGCTACCTTTGTGTTAGCGGGGTCTTTCGGGTTGAATTTACCACCGCATATAAAGCAATGCTTTTCCTTTTTATGCTCTTCCTGTTGCTTTGTCGTCCATTGTAACTTCTTCTTCTTTTGTTTGAAGGAGTTGTTAAACACACAAAGTCTCCATGAATAACATATGGACATTTAAGTTTCTTATAGTGCTTTTGGAAACTCATTTTTTCGTCTTCTTTTGGCATTACTATTTGTTGTATTTCGTGTGCCATACATCCTTTTAATAAGTGGTTGTTAAGCAATGACTCCTTGTCAAAACCGTGTTGGCAGTATCTACAATGAAATAGTTTTTCCCTGTGCTTGTTTGTTTGTGCTCCCATTAAACGGCTGTAGTCTTTGATTAAAACATAATGATTACTGGTCTCTTCTTCTAAAAGTAGTAAATTAACGTGACACGATGGATTCTTAATTTTAGAAATTCTATTAACAACTATTGAATTGGTGCCGTTCGGGTCGCGAATGCCTCGCGAGTTCTGCGAAGCGTCAATGGCATAAACATTAACGGATATTGCTCTATCGTTTATTTCTTCACAGGTGTCAATGTCTTCATTTGATGCTGGAAAGTCTACACCTTCCCATTCTATCAGATTATCATTTTCTTTTAGTTTGTTGTAATGATACAACCTGTCAGGGTGGTCTTTTTTCATTATCTCATAAAACCTTGATTGGACGTAGTATTTGAAACAATAATCGTCGTCATTCTTAATATTAATACAGGCCCCTTTTTAGTTGCAATCCATTTAGGTAATTCAATATATTTACCTGCTCTTGTTGGGTTGTATTTATCATAATGGGTTGCGATTTTTTCAATGTGGTCTATCTTATATCCTGACCTGGTTAGTTGTGAGTTCCCTATCAGAATTTCAATGTCTGATGCCATATTATCAATTGCATGTTTTAATTCTTCTTGGTTGTTAATCGTATAAATTCTGCTTGCCATTTTAAACACCGCTTGTTCTTCCAGTTCTAGATGTGTAAAAGCAACGTCTGTATCAATTGTAATTTTCATATTGTTGTCCTTGTCTAAAAACTCCCTTAATCTTGGTTCTTGATATTTTAAATGTGTTAGTCCTTTTGTTCCTTTTAATAATGGTGATATGTTTGAAATTGAATAGGAATTGGCATATTCTTTAAACGCGTTTGTTTCATTTGTAACCTTTGCCTTTTTACTAATAATACATTTCTTTAATGCCTTTCTAATTGCTATGCCTTTCGTTGCTGTCTTCAATATATCATACCTTTTAAAACCCTGTGTTTTGGATATTGTCTTGAGTTTCTTCTTTAATCGTTGTGATATAGGTTTTTGTTTCTTATATGAATATTCTTTATCATTTATAACGACCTTCTTGAGTTCCCTGTTCCCTTGCGTTTTTATGTT